TGGGGGATAGTCCAGCCAATGACAGACATTTCCTGAAGGACTAGGCTTGAAAAACAGAAGCCAAAGGGCCAGTCTAGGACTAAAAAGCTCAGGGAACCAGGAGACAGGCAGAAGGTAGGGAAGAAGAGCAGGCACACAGAACCGGGAGGTCAAGGAGGAATCAGGCAGCAGGCAAGTGGGATGGGGGTCGGCAGAGAGAAACTGGGAGCCCACAGCTGCTTGAGCCTGAGCTGGCAGCTTTTCTAGGACAGTGCCCCAGCCCAGAGAAGCCAGGGTTAACAAGGTGTGGATGGACCATGAAGGGAAATGTCACCTCACCTCAGGTTTCCATTACTGTTCATTAGAGAACACAAGCGGACTGGGTCTGTCCAGTTAGATAAGAGGTATCACTAGGCATCAGAATTTGGGTCAGGCTGTTGGAGACAGAGATCAATTCACCTCAGAAACAAGAATCGCATTGACTCGGGTGAGTGGCACCATCCATGACACAATTCCCGAGACATCACTGGCAGGCATGGCCCCTGCCACACTGGCTGGGAGATGCAGATGGGGCTCTCCTCTGCTGACCTGCAGAGGGCTCTGGCTCTATACTTGCCTGGGAGGCAAAAGCCAACACACTGCTCTCTAGACTGACAGAGTAATACACAGAAAAGTCCTCCACACTCCAATAACAAATGCACTGAATGTTCCACACGGGCTGCCCAGGAGATCTTCTGAGTATCACTTTAGAGTTGCCAAATCCCAAAGAAGTTCAGAAGTCTCTTTTCAAATCACCAAAACAAGGATGGGTTGGGGCAGGGAAGATAGTCTTCAAGTTCTATTATTGAGTACTAGTCACAAGCCACACTAACAGCCAACAATAAGCACACAATGTCAGGCACCTGACACACAGCACCTTGCTCTTGTCTCACAGTCCTTGGTGAGAGGCACTGACACCCCACTTTCAAGCAGTTTTGTGCTTCTAGGGCCTAAGTCATGCAGGCAGGATATGGCAAAGACAAACCAGTTGGCTCCAAAACCCATGCTCCTAACCACTACAACTCTTGACCTGCCACTTAGAAGAAGCATTTTCAGAGGCCAGAGAAATGCTGCATTTATATATGTGCACCTTAACACAAGCATGAAAGAGACTTGGGACACACACATACCCACAAAATCCAGTGGATAGAGAGACTCACTAACAGACTATCTAGGTCAGAGACTGATAAACATTTTTGGTAAAGAACCAGACAGTAAATATTTAGGCTTTGCAGTCTGTATGACAACTACTCAACTCTGCCATTATAGTGCAAAAGCAGCCACAGACTGCATATAATCAAATGGGCATGGCTTTCTTTACAAACACAGGTACCAAGGAAGACTTGGCCCATAGGCCATGGTTTGATGACTCTGCCTTAGACCATGGGAGTCCTGGGAAGTAGCTGAATCAATAAGGAACTTGATCAGATGAGTATTTAGAATAACTATGGTGACTGCTGATCGATGGATTCAGAATGTTTCAGATGTATTATTAAATAAATACTGGATTTATCATGTTTATCTGTTATTGCATTTGTTACAAACAAGTGGGAGTGGAGGTGTTCCAATAAAACTATTTACACAATCAGACAAATGTCCTGAATTTAGAGCACAGGTCATAGTTCACTGAGCCCTGCTGCCCTGGAATCTCTAACCAGAAATTCTAATAAATCAGCATCTAAAATCAGCTACTACAATCCCTCAAATACCTACTGTAGACCCATTTATCCTGAGAGCCTCTGATTATACCAATATGGGGATGAGAGAAAGAAGGAATTTTTTTCTTCATTTTGCTGGATTCATTTAAACCAGACACAAATCCCAGCCATACAGGATCAACTCTTCACTCTTTCAAAGCAGATGTGTAGGCAGTGCACTGCACATAGGCTGCATTTATGGCAAAAAAAAAAAAAAAAAAAAAAAAAAAAAACGAAACTGCAAACTAATGGCCCATGCATCCCCAACACCGTTCTGCCAGCCCAGCTACACTACTAAGAATCCTACAGTCTCTGCACCACTATGTGACATTAACTGCCAGGGCTGCCTGCATGTCACACAATGTTACTGATACTGACAGATTCCAAGGGAAGCATATGTCATCAGAATGGCTCTCCAGCTTCTAGGACTGGCCCTGGACTATACTAATCCCTAGTACGATCCTCTCGTTCAATCTAAATTGTTGGTGCCAGAACTGGAAACCAGGGGTAAGACTAGGCTTTCAAATTTAAAATAACTAAAATCAGGCCATGCACAGTGGCTCACACCTATAATCCCAGCACTATGGGAGGTCGAAGCGGGCGGACCACCTGAGGTCAGGTGTCCGAGACCAGCCTGGCCAACATGGTGAAACCCCATCTCTACTAAAAATACAACAAGCAGCTGGGCGTGGTGGTGTGTGCCTGTAATCCCAGCTACTCTGTAGGCTGAGGCTTGAACCTGGGAGGCGGAGGTTGCAGTGAGCCAAGATCATACCATTGCATTCCAGCTTGGGCAACAAAGCAAGACACTATCTCAGAAACAAACAAAAAACCTAAAACCAGTTATCTGCTTGATAACATCCTTAAAAAGATGATGTCAGATGGCGTTTGTGGTTTCCACTCTTAGTACAGTTCTCCAAGGTGGCAGGAAGGGGACAATTATCACATGTCTAAAGACATTTTGACTGTCACAACTAGGGAGCTGTTACTGGCATCTAGTGGGTAGAGACCCCAGAGATGCTGCTGAAATCCTATCCACAATCAAGACCTATTTAGACCAAAATGTCAATAGCACCAAATGAGACACCATGTCTTAGGAGGATCTCACCATGTGATAACCCCCAATACCTCAAGCACATGCATACAAGTCCAATTAAATTCCAGAAACTCAGCTCCCAAAACCACTTTGATATGTTAAAGTTGATTAGAAGAAAGATAAAACTAGCAGTGTGAGTTAGAGTTGCTCATGTGACCTGTTTGATTGTTTCTTTGTTGTTTTTGAGAAAAATAAATTATTTTGCTAAGGTTCATCTACAAAAGTATGTTGGAATGAATAATTTCTATAGTTTCTTTGAGATGCAAAGTCCTATGATTACAAGCATATAAGGTGGCTGAAATTCTAACAGCCTATTCTGAGATTTTTTTGTAACTTAAAAAATAATATCTCTGTGAGGCTGAAAAGCTAAGACCAAATTATTGTCCTTAAGTAGGGAAGCCTTCCCTATGAGATTTTTAGCAGTACACAAGAAATCAAAACAGCCAAAACAACTGGAGAAATTTAAAGCCTACAAATTTGCTATTTGTGGAGCTGCTTCTTGGCCATAGAAAAGGTTTGAAAGACTAAGAGAAACAAGAGAAAATTACCACTGAGCTGTAACTCTTTCCCTTCAAAGCTATAACATGAAATGCATACAACCAGAAACTTTAAAACTGTACCTGTGTTACCTGCTACGTTATATACATTGGTAACACTAATGGTGACAATCAACTTTATTTTCTGTTGGTTTATCTCAACTACTCTGGAAACGTTACAGAAGTGTGAGTCAATGAGGAATTTTAAAATGCAACTCTAGGAAAAACTACCTAGTTGTTTTTCAGTGTAAGTTCCCACAGTCGAATCCCATTTTTTAAATCCATCAGTTCAAAAAAGGTACCATTTTATTTAGATATATTAAAAGCCAATGCCTACACTTTTAACAGATTAAAAGCAGAGTATGATTATTTACATAGTAAGAACTAGAAAAGAATTTCTACAATGTTCCTTAGAAGCATCTTCTATAATAAATATAAACACACACACACGTGTATATAAAATTTTACATATTTTTAAAAACAAGTTTTTTTCCCCTTTTGGAAAGAAAAAAATACATGTATAACTGAGTATGATTTCCTGTGTCTGAACTCAAACTGCACTGAACTGTTGCTGCACATTTTTGGGAATCACGATTTGAACTCTGCATACTTCAGGGCACCTTCCTTGAGTGGGTCACAAAACAGAACTCCACTTTCTCCACCTCACCTAACCCCATTCTTGTATCTCATCTATACTATCATGGAGACTACTTCAGTGAGACCACTGAAACCTCAATTCAATGATCAGACTCTTTCACTCAACAACAGGTCATCTTCTACAGACCAATTCTGCTCTGCAAAACACAGCATATTTTAAAATCCATTTGCAATTTTTTTGTAAGTATTTGTGTATATATTTTTGTGTGTGTATATGTAAAATATCAGAAAAATACACACTGAAATGTTAATTGTGGTTATTGCCTGGAGTAGTAGACTTATGTGTAATTTTTTTCTTTTTTTGCTTGTCTACAGCTTCCAGCTTTTTCTATATTAAACATAAAAGAAAAATAAGTTACATTCCATATGTGTATCTTTTTACTCTTTATGATTTCAAAAATAATTCTGAAAAAAAAATTCTTTTAAAAAAAAGCAACAAGTACACAAAGATTCCTTTTAAAGTGAGGGCAATTAGAGACAAGGGCAAGAAGAAGAGCAACATAACCTCAAGAAGCCAAAGATTAAAACTCACCAGGATGCAAGTGCCAGTGTCCTACTTATTGGCTGGAGGGAGGCACACAATTGGCTCTAAGTTTACTGGCTTCCATTCCTCCCCATCCTCTTCACCTCACCCCCACCAGCCTTAATTAAGTTTTGTTTAGGGAACGATGAGAATATTTTTCAGCATTCCCTGAACTCACTCCCACATGAGATCACATGGTTCCTGAAATGTGCTCAGGGAGAAGGAGCTAGTTGCAAACACAACCAATAGAGCCCTAACTGTCCTAACCCATTGATTCCAGGGGAAAGTGTGTCTGCATACACCAGCTCAGAACAATGAAAATGGCACTGCTTAAATTAATTTCCTAAAGATGCCTCTCTGTGTGCAATTCACTGCTTATGAAGGCATGACAAGACCATGTCTGGGAGCTTCTAGGGCCATTTTCAAGGCCAAGGCACACTTTAATGGAGAGGTCCCAGAAACACAGTGCTTACCATAAGCTGTCATGACTCCAGCGTATGGCCCATCCACCACATTCCTGTTTTCTTCTGCCAGTGCCTTGATGTACCTTTTGCTGAGGTCCAGGATCTGCTCACGCAGCATGGAGCTGCTTTCAGGCTGAGTTCGCTGCTGGATGGTAAAGTGCAGAAGCATCATACCCCAAATGAAGCCAAAAGTCACCAGGAAAAAGCCCAGCTTCTGAGAGGACAACTTCCACGGAGTAAAGACAGCCATTGCTCTCCAGCAACTTCACCTGTCCTTGGCTCTTAACGCGTAGAAGATAGACACAAATTCATGGTGTAGGTTCAGTGTGAGAGTCTGCTGGTCTCACTCTGGCTCCTGTGTCAGCTGATTGCCTTTCCTCACTTCCATTCTGCTGTGAAGGAGGAGAAGAATTAACAAAGTAGTCATGGCACAATACAGCAAAATAAACCAGAAGCCATGTTTTCACTTGAATACCTCTAAGTAAAATGTTAACTCTTAAATTTCCTGGTTCAATACCTTATGATTCAGGATCTGTAAGCTGAGGGGAAATCTGGCTAGGCAACAAGAAGCTAAGCAAATATGAAGGGGGAAGTGTGTAACTGTGTGTGTTAACAGGTGTAGTGGGGCTGTTCCAGCCTGGACCAAATTCAAAACAGGAAGTTTGTTTTGCAAGGTGGGGAGGAGATGGAAGGATATTTCACTGAATGTCAGCAAAAACCCAAGCAGAGGGTGGAGTCATATCACCATCAGGTACTTTTGTGTGCCTGTAACTTAAGCTTACAAAGTCATTATTATGTGCTTCTGGCAAGGACTAGAACATGCAACTGGTGAGGTGAGCAAGAAAGTGGATGCCCCCTTGGGGGTAACTAAACAAGGAAGAGGTAGATTGCTCCATCTTATTTAAGCATGGCCAGCTTTCACTATTAGTGTTTAGAGATGAGATGGCTCTCTCAGGGCCACCAGGCAACCTCTCTAGGTGCACCAGCACAGAGAAGATATGCCAGAGGTACAAGCGGGGGTAACGCTTTCCCAGCTACATGAGGGAAAGCTATACCTCACTGCTCAGTTGCATGCTGTAGCACAAGAAATGTGGAACACCTGGCAGGCAGATTTTCTGTGGTTCTCACTTTCACTCCCACCATGAGGCAAAATGAGACATTAAAAGGCAGAGTAGTTTCAATATTAATGCAGCCAGATCCTATCTAACGCAAGGACAGACCAGGCCACTCTTCTCAATCAGGGCTTCCAACAAGTAGGACCTGAGCACAGGTTGCAAATGGTTACCAGTATGCCCATCCCTTCAGCCAGAGTCCTGGGCCCAATACCAGTCAGCTTACGAACAGTGCCACTTTCTAAGTGCCACTCAAGGGACAGACTGAGCAATGATCCCGATATAAGGGACTAACCCAGGATGTACTTCAAAGTGTACATATATGCTTTAAAGGATTCTTCTTTGCAAGTAGCCCAAAAGAAAATGGTAGCAGGATCTTGAAGCAATTAGCTTTCAGAGCCCTGGATCACTGTTGGTCTGCCTCTTACTGTTTTCCCCTTGCCTATCAACAGAGTAACCAGTAGTTGGTAGTACTACTATTAATAAAAATAAATTATAAATTCTAGCTATGTCCCAGACATTGTGACACACAATCTTTTGTGGCTTAGCTCACTGAATCCTCAGAAGTTCTGTATGGTAAGAAGTATGAATATTATCATCTCTGTTTTATGAGAAGCATGAGAAAATAAAGGCAAAAGGTGATTAACTTGGCAAAGGTCAGCCAGCTATGCGGCAGAGGACTGACCATCTAGGCATGGCCCAGGGGTTATTAAACCATGCCCCACCTTCCGTATGTCATCCTCACTCCCCCAACAGCCTGTTTGTATATGGCAGACGATGATATGTATATGCTTAATGGGTCATGAAAAGCAATAAAGAATATGTAACTGATACTCTATGTAGCCCACAAGGCCTAAAATATTTACTACCTACCTCTTAACAGAAAAGATTTGCCAACCTCTCAATTCTAGACCAGTGGTTCTCCAAATGTGGTCCCAAACTCAGTAACGGCAGCATCGCCAGTGAGAAATGTGAATTTTCAGGCCCCACCCACACCCACTGAATCAGCAACTGGGGAGATGTGGTCCGCAGTCTACACTTTAACAAGTCTCGAGGTGATTCTGATGCACACTCAAGTTTCAGAGCCCTTGACCAGGCAGTCTGATTCCAGACCCATACATTCCATCACTATTCAATACCACCACAATGCTCATTAAAATGAGGCTCAACTTCTGTCTTATACTATGACATAAGTTCTTCTGCCCCATCACACCCCTCTCCCCCTACGTACCTGCTGGTCTGCTCATCACCACAAACCCTGCACATGCTTCCTGAGGGGCTTCCCAGTCTTCATTCGGCTGCTCCTCCCACCCAGCTGGCACATGAGTGCTCTCCATTATGCTGACAATCAAACCCAGCCTGTCTGCCAAACCCCAGCTCCAGTCCCACCTGCCTCAGACCACTTTCCCCAGGGCTCCAGCCTGCAGTGTTCCTTTCCTAGTCTTACAGCACTTTTGACAATGGAATACTATTCAACCAGAAAAAAAGAGAGAAATCCTGTCTTTTGCAGCAACAGGGATAAACCTGAAGGACATTATGCTAAATAAAATAATCCAGGCACAGAAAGGCAAATACTGTACAATCTCACATGCAGACGCTAAAAAGTTGGTATCATAGGAGATAAAAGAACAGTGGTTACCAGGGGTGGGGAGGAGAGAGGGGGAGGAGAGAGGGGGAGGAGAGAGGGGGATGGGGAGGGAGTGGTCAGTAGGTAAAAAGTTACAGTTAGGAGGAATAAATTCTGGTGTTCTATTGCACAGCAAGGTGACTATGGTTAATAATAATGTATATTTCTAAAAGAGACAATTTTAAGTGTTCTCACCACAAAAGTAGTGATAATTATTTGGGGGTGATGTGCATGCTAACTACCCTAATTTGATCATTTCACAATGTATATGTGGACTGAATCTCACATTGTACTCCATTATTATGTATAATTATTGTATCAAATTAAAAAAAAAATTTAAAACAGGGAATAAAGGAGTATTATGAGTTAAAAACACCGGTCCACCTTGGATTGTTTAAAGTTTCTATGTGTGACTCCATGACATACTTTAGGAAGCCCCTCCTCCAACACACACCTTCCCAGAGAAAGGCACTGACCACAGTGGCACAATAAAGTATCTGCTAAGTGAATATGTCACCTAGGGCACTACAGGACTTTATTCAGCCCTTCTAACTGCAGGCCAACCAACCAGCACCTGCCCTCTTTCCTTCCTCTACACCGCTCCAAGTCTATATTGAGCATGAACTGCCATCAGGCCCTGGTGACTGAACAGTGAACAAGATGGAATTTCTACCCAAAGGGGCTGACACTCTGAAAGCCACATTACGAACTAGATGCTGCACCTAGCTCCTTGGGAATTGGCTTTTTTTTTTTTTTTTTTTTTTTTGAGACGGAGTCTCGCTCTGTCGCCCAGGCTGGAGTGCAGTGGCCGGATCTCGGCTCACTGCAAGCTCCGCCTCCCGGGTTTACGCCATTCTCCTGCCTCAGCCTCCCGAGTAGCTGGGACTACAGGTGCCCGCCACCTCGCCCGGCTAGTTTTTTGTATTTTTTAGTAGAGATGGGGTTTCACCGTGTTAACCAGGATGGTCTCGATCTCCTGACCTCGTGATCCGCCCGTCTCGGCCTCCAAAGTGCTGGGATTACAGGCTTGAGCCACCGCGCCCGGCCGGCTTTTTTTTTTTTTTTTTTTTTTTTTTTTAAATAACCCATACTCATTACTTAATTTTACCCAGGGCTGAAGGAATTTTCCTAGGGCAAGCCAATGAGGTGCTATATCAAAAAAGGTGATTTTCTTTCACTATTTTAGTAAAGAGCCCGAATCACTGGCAGGAATTAGCTGTCCACTTTCAGACAGGAAGCCCCACTCTACTTCCTCAATTAATCCTACTAAATAGGCTGCTCAAGCTGTGCAGTTAAAACAAAGATCAAGGGCTAGGACCTGAACGATGCCTTCCTTAGAAGGTAGAAAGCTTCTTCTCCATCCTTGCCTTGGCGAGAGTCCAACACATCCAGATGGTGTATTACAGGGGCAAAGAGATGGCCAAAAAATCTCAGCCTAGGTAAAATTATCCCAGTTCAGAGACATGCAAATTTGAAGTGAAAATCCCTAGCTATGAAGAGTTCAGAGTAGAGTTCTGATTAGTGAGGGCCCAGATTTTAAGTGACTATAGAAGTGCCAGGAAACTTCTCTTCTCCAGTGGTACTTAGAGCTTGAAATGATAGAAACGATATCAGCATACACACAGCACACATAGAGAATCACAGACTGCATCTCTACAATTCCTATTGAGATGACAGAACTTAAGACTTTTCAAAAGCGTTATTCAGGAGACACCTTTCTCTCTCACAGTAACAGGTGGACAACGAGGAGGATAATGAACAGCCATCCTCACAGAGAGTCTTGATGCCACAAAATGACAAGGAGGATCATCAGGAATGACCAGACAATTAATGAGGAAGCCCTAGACTAACAGTGATCAAGAAGTTGTTGCTGGAGCTAAGAAGATGCCTACCTCCAGACCTTCTAACAGCTGGGTCCTCTAGCTAAGTGCATCCAATGGGCACAGTGGGACTATACAGTGGATCTCAGAAGACCTTGTTGCCAACCAGAGTAACGTCAGCTCATGGCTGTGACTTCATCAATTCACCTCCAGAAAAAAGTCTGCACCAAGTCTGTTTGCAGAATTAGCCACTCCAACATGCATACCCTCTATCCTCCTACTTCCTAAAAGGGTAGCAATCACCTTGCCCCTTCCCACTCACGCCTCAACACAACAAAATCATCTTCCACCTTTCTAAAGATCATCAGAGATCTCTGGCAAAGAAATGTGTCAATTCTGAAAACAAAAAAAAAGCACATGAAAAAATGCTTAACATCATTAGTCATTAGAGGAAATGCAAATCAAAACCACAATGAGATACCAACTTCACATTCGTAAGGACATACAGATAAGAACAAGTGTTGGTGAAGATGTGGAGAAATTGGAACCCTCATCTACCACTGGTGGGAATGTCAAATGGTGCAGCCAGTGTGGGAAATAATCTGGCAGCTCCTCAAATAGTTAAACATGGAGTTACCATATGACCCAAACAATTCTGCTTCTAGGAATTCTCCCAAGAGAAATGAAAATACGTGTCTACACAAAAACTTATACACAGAAGTATTCAGCAGCAGTGTCCATACTCAGCAGTATTATCCATAATAAACAAAAGTGAAACCAGCCCAATGTGCATCAACTGAGGAAACAAAACTGCCATATCCATGCAATTAAATATT